GTAGGGTGGCTATTTCGTGAATGGTTGCTTCGTGGGTGGGTGCAGATCGTGGGCGGTGGTGGTGGGTTCGTGGGTGCGGTGGTGGTGGGATCGTGGGTTTAATTTTCTGGGTTTGAAATGGGTTTCTTGCGGTGGTGGTGGGTTCGTTGGTGCGGTGGTGGTGGGATCGTGGGTTTAATTTTCTGGGTTTGAAATGGGTTTCTTGCGGTGGTGGTGGGTTCGTGGGTGCGGTGGTGGTGGGTTCGTGGGTTTAATTTTCTGGGTTTGAATTTGGTTCCTACGGTGGTGGTGGGTTCGTGGGTTTAATTTTCTGGGTTTGAATTTGGTTCCTATGGTGGTGGTGGGTTCGTGGGTGCGGTGGTGGTGGGTTCGTGGGTTTAATTTTCTGGGTTTGAATTTGGTTCCTACAGTGGTGGTGGGTTCGTGGGTGCAGATCGTGGGTGGTGGGTTCGTGGGTGCAGATCGTGGGTGCTTGGGTGAGGTGGTTGCGGCGGTGGTTTTGTGGGTGAGGTGGTTGCGACGGTGGTTTTGTGGTTGCTGGGTTGTTTCGGTGCCGCTGGGTGGTGGTGGTGGTTCCGGTGCTGCTGGGTGGTGGTGGTTTTGGTGCTGTAGGGTGGTGCTAGTGGTGGTGGGTTATTAATTTAATAATAGTTGAATTTGTTTTTTTTTTTTTGGTTGGATTAACACTTAATCATATGCTCTTAATCATGCTTTAAAACTTTTGCTTTGGTTTCCGCAACAAGTACAATTGTTGCAATTAACCATTAACGGAGGGAGTATATATTTTGTTTGAAGTATATACCTAATTACATTGACCATTATTTTTGTAGCCATATAAAATAGTTTAATACAATTTATGCGGACGGAGTATATAAGAAAAACAGTGTACGAAAAGTTCTTGAACAAAGCATCACATTAATTTCTCTATTATTCCTAAAGGCTAAACCCCCTGTTTCATTTTGTAACAAAATGCAACAACGAGATATTCCCCGACCTCATGGAAACGATGTCGTGGGCGGCGGTGCTAGAGTGAGGCTGGAGGACATTGAGGGCGGTGCTAGAGTGACTCCGGAACAATCCCTGGGAGGTGCTAGAATGAGGCCGGAACAATCCGAGGACAGTGCTAGAGTGAGGCCTGAACAATCCGAGGGCAGTGCTAGAGTGAGGCCGGAACAAGTAAACATCGTTTCGTAGAGAACTTCGAATTCAGATGGGCAGAAGTTATTGAAGGGTGAACGGATGAAGCTATGGTCTTTCATTTTTAGGACATGTGCTATGGTCGTTTCTTTCCTCTCTTCTGTTCTTATGGTTTCCGTCTCTGACTTCCATGTATTTCCAGGGTTCAGGTATATTAACTTGTTTCTTACGTCAAACTTCAAGCACTACTACACTCATTTACTACTCCCTCCGTTTTTTTAAAGTGCCCCAGTGACATGTCACACATATCGATTCAAAACTTTGAGCAATAATATCTTTGATTATCATTAACTATAAATTATAACAATTGAATATTAATAATCTACTCATTGAGACGATTCCAACAAATACTCACAAAACTATATATTTTCTTATGTATAATTCACAAACATTGGCCAAAGTACGTAGTATGTTTAATAAATAGTGCCAAAATCCCAAATGAGACACTTAAAAAAAAAAAAAAAAGGTGAGAGTATATCTAAAGAATTAAGATGCAATAAAATTTCTTGGAAAAATTGACACTACTAATTTCAATTACGACTTGTTTTCTTTAAAGTGTCTTTACTTGTTAATCAACGTACTCTAGGGCGGTCTTAACTTTAGGAGTCATCATTCTTAAAATGGTCATTATATATTTTCAACTGGTTTGACTGGTTAATAATAACACATGTCTTGTTTTTGTTAGGTTAGTTACAAAAAGTTAATCCTCTACCACTTAATCACCTACCCCTTCTCGGTACACCATCTTCATTTTTTTTAACCGACCATTAAAAACTCAACACGTGATAACATGCTAACCAGTTTACCCGATCATAATAAATTTGGGACAACTATACTTAGAAGAAACCCTCCAAAGTTGAAATCACCAGGAAGTTAATTAATTGTTGAGGTGATATTTCAAAGAAAAACGTTCATAGTTAGGACTAGTAGCGTCAATTTTCTGAAATTTCTCCCCTTGTACTTCTTTTGTTTTTTGTTGGTTTATTTGTTTCAATTCTTTTATTCTTATCATTTTAAATCTTGACATATATATACGCCTAAATAATACAAAGTAGTATTTATTAATTTGAATTCACTTGAAAAAATTGGTTGGTTCACCACTAATTTGGAGTGCATGTCTCATATGAGCTTTACGTATATTTTGCGACACAATTTGAAAAAGGTTGGTTCACGACAAATTTGGAGTACATGTCTCGTATGAGGTCTACGTATATTTTGAACTTTTTTTTGTTTTTTTGCGACATAGTTATGTGCTTGGTATAGCTATTATTGTGGTGGTGTATACAACCGTGCAAGTTGGGATAAAAGGTCACGAACTTCGCACCAAAGAGGATGTGATTCCACCCAAGGCTGCAATTTGGATCGACTTTTACGGAGATCAGGTCAACATTACGCCATCTTTTATTCTTTTGCAATTATATTTGTCTATCATAATAACTTATTGTATCTATCACAATATCTTCTATTGGTCTTTGATTTGTTGACATCTAGTACGATAGGTTTACATGCGTGTTAGTCTGTAATTCGTCCAAATATATATATATATATATATATATATATATATATATATATATATATATATATATATATATATATATATATATATATTTCCCTTTTTCTCTTTCGTTTCCCATTCCCCTCTCCCTCCTTTAATTTCCGGCCACCGAGCCACCTTTTTTCCTCCACCGAGCCACCTCCTCCCCAAAAATCAGCCACCCCACTCACGACCAGCCATCTCCCTCCTTTAATATTTCTGTCTCCTTTTTTTTTCAATCCCCTAAAATCGGCAACCTCTACCCACAGAGCCACCTTTTCCTATGGCTGGCACACCACCACCAACCCCCTCAACCCACCGCCTGTGACCTTATAACCCAGAACCAACAACTACCCACAAGCGACCATGCATCCCCCTCAACCCACCACAAACAGCGACGACTTCATTCCTCTCAACCCACCACAAACAGCTACGACTTCATTCCTCTCAACCCACCGCCATCTATCAATTTGGTTTTTTTTTTATTTTTTTAATTTTTTTTTTTATTTGGGGTGGATTTGAGTTGGTGTGGTGGTCGTGGGATGGTTGCATGGAGGTGGGTAGGGTGGTCGGGAAGGGGAGACAAGAAAAAGAAGCTAGGTAGGGAAGGGAAGGGGTGGTTGCTAGAGGGGAGGTGCACGGAGAGAAAGGGAGGAAAGAGAAGGAAGGTTGACTTTCTATGGAGAGGATGAGAGAGAGTGTAGGAGGATGGACAAAATGAAAATAAAATAAAAACTAAAACTTACCCAACATACAAGTAATCAGTCACAAGAGACTAGTAGAAGTGAATGATCCAGAAAGGTGTAGGATCATTAGATAATAATCAAAAGGTAGGATTATTGACAACTAATCGGCAAAATAAAGATGGGATTATTAGAATTAATTTTCTCTAAATAAACTACGAAAAAAATAGTGGGTATAAGTGGGGAGGAGAGAGAATCTAACAAATTTTAAAATATGATATAGGGAACTACTAATGGGGTAGATAATAGTAAAATATTGTCTTAAATTTCCAAAAATAGACATGGAATACTTTCTAAAATACGGCCAAACATGAAAAGTGAAGCGCTTATTAAATTACAGCCAAATATGAAAAGTGAAGCACTTACTAAAATACAGGGGAGTATATTTATGTTATAATATATTAAGTACATATAGAGTATAAATTTGAGCCACTCCACCCTAGTGAGAACTCAGCTCAAATGTAGATTATTGGTGAACTTTTGTCTTATATATCAATAAATGGACAAATAATTATTTTTTGCTTGGTAATTATGAATTACAGTTTTTGGCGTACGTGTTATTTTCATCAAGTTCAACAGGGGCAACATTGTCCATCATTCTCAGCAGTGGAGATTACATGACTGTAGGCTTACAACTTGTGGCAGCATCCGTCAGCATGTCTGTTTTGACAAGTATTTTTCTGGCATTTGCGGCACTCATATCTTCATATCGTTTATTCGCTAACATATAAATGTAACCTCCCGTACTTTTATGAACTTTATAAGCATTATCTTAATTACTCTTCTGTATGTTAACTAATTTTATGTACTTTATAAGCATTTACTTCCTATGTTCCAAATTAGATGACATACTTTGACTTTGTACTATGCACTATGCACTATTCACATAATTTATTTTGACTTCGTTTTATGATTTCATATTGAGAAAAGTATAAACATGTAGGATTTTGTTAGATTCGTTTCAGCATTTATTTCTAATTATCAAATAATTATTTTTTGGCTAATATGTAATCATGGTTTTTTGCATTAGAAACTATTCATTGGCATATATGTATATGTAGAATAGTGTAATTCTCCTTGAGTGGAGGCTTCACATTCATTCAATATACATAGGTATGTACAACCTTAATCATGAGATACCTAAATTACACAAAATATATCTTTACAGAATATTGACAAAATAATATCAATCTATTACCTATCACACCCCCGCAGTCAAAGCAGGAAGAGGACGAACGATGAGACTGTCTCTGAAGTCTAAGAATAGTTGCCGGGGTAGACCTTTAGTGAAAATATCTGCGTACTGGTATGAAGACGGAACATGTAAGACCTTGATCTTACCAAGAGCGACCTTATCGCGTACAAAATGAATGTCCATCTCAATGTGTTTGGTACGTTGGTGTTGTACCAGATTGCAAGATAGGTATACGGCAGAGATATTATCACAATAAACCAAGGATGCCCGTCGAATAGGGCAATGCAGCTCGAGAAGTAGATTCCGGAGCCAACAGATTTCGGCAATAACATTAATTAGCGACGCCTCTATATTCTGCTTCGGCACTTGATCGGGACAGAGTAGCTTGTCGTTTCACAGACCACGAGACAAGATTATCACCCAAATAGACACAATACCCTGAAGTGGAGCGTCGTGTGATGTCCGGGCAGCCGCCCCAATAAGCATATGTGTATGAAATAAGACTCGTGGGAGCAGAACGGTATAAATGTAGGCCATGATCTGAAGTGCCTTTGATATATCTGATGATACGCTTAAGAGCGTTATAATGTGGTTCCGTAGGAGCATGCATGAATAGACAAACCTGCTGGACGACATAAGCAATGTCAAGTCTGGTGAATGTGAGGTACTGAAGTGCACCTGCAAGGCTCCTGTAAAGAGAGGGATCCTTCATTGGCTCACCATCGTGAGGCCTAAGTTTCAACTTAATGTCGACGGGTGTAACAACCGGTTTGCAACTGTCCATCTTAGCCTTGTGAATAATTTCCTCTTCATACTTACTCTGACAAAGAATCATGGAGTCCTTTGTTAGGGTAACAGAAATTCCCAAAAAATAACTCAACTTCCCCGAGTCATACATGGAGAATTCGGACTTAAGAAGAGCAATAATATCACACTTGATGGAGGAAGCTGTAAGAACAATGTCATCAACATAAAGCAAAAGATATGCAACATTAGCACCATGTCGCAATATAAAGAGGGAATTATCACTTTTGATGCACACAAAACCAATTTGCAAGAGATAATTAGCAAACCGTTGGTACCAAGCACGAGGGGCCTGTTTCAGACCATAGAGAGATTTGCGGAGCCGGCAAACATAAGTAGGAGCATTGAGATTTATAAATCCTGGTGGTTGATGCATAAATACGGTCTCCTGGAGGTCACCATGAAGGAACGCATTTTTGATTTCTAACTGATGAATAGGCCAATCTCTACCCATAGCAATACTCAGAACAATACGAATAGTTGCCGGTTTAACCACAGGACTAAAAGTCTCATCGCAATCAACACCAACTTGTTGAGACTTGCCATTCACAACAAGTCTCTCCTTGTGTCTCTCCAAGTCACCATTTTCCCTGTACTTGTGTTTAAACAACCACATACAACGAATAACATTCACCCCCTCCAGTCTTGAAATAAGATCCCAAGTATGCTGTTTAGTAAGAACATTAAATTCCTCTGATATACGTGTTTTATACAATGGTTTTCCCCGGTTTGATTGCATGATTTTACATGGTTTTGAGCTCTACGGAGCTATTTCTTGCTAACAATCTCTTCTTTAGTGTATTCGATTGTTTTAGTAAGCTTTTCAGGAATATGAAGCGTTTCTAGGCAATTGGACGTGTTTTTAGTAGATTCGGAAGAGTTGATAGCCAAGAACTGCAATTTATGTGGAATGCCCGACCGGGCATGGCTTGCCCGGGCAGACCGGGCAATGAGGAGTTCACAGGAAGAAGCCCAATTCTGAACGGTGCAACGCGCGCCCGATCGGGCAGGCTTCGCCCGGTCAGACCGGGCGATGAAGAAATCAAGTTATGAGATGCAATTTTGGAAACGTGTTACGCGCGCCCGACCGGGCGAGGTTCGCCCGGTCAGACCGGGCAAAGAAGGAAAACTGTCGTATTTTACGCAGCCTTCCTCCGCCCGATCGGGCGAGGTCCGCCCGGTCAGACCGGGCAAAGCTCAAGAACGCGTATTTTCTTATTTTTCCGAAATATTATCTTTTGGGGGTATAAATACCCTTTTGTAATTAACTTTTAGACAGTTAGTTTTTCATTAGTTTTCTCCTTAAGCCCTAGAAAACTCTCAAGAACCCTAGTTTTATTTTCTTAAGCAATTTCAATCTTTAATCCTAGTTTTATTAATTGTTCCTCAAGAATTCAAGATCATCAATTGAAGTATTTGGTATTTCTTACTTTCCATCTCTTTTATTTATTTTATAGTTCTTTAATTATGTGTTCTCTATTAGATCTTGTTTTTGATTTAATTATGATTTGTGAGTAGTTTCCTTAATCCGGGATCTTGCTAAGCCCGATTATGATTGATGTATAAAGTAGATCTTTAAATTCCCCAATAATAATCCCAATTGACATGCTTAATTGATTGTGTTTATGCCAATACTAGATTAGGGATAATTAGTATTGTTATCATCCCTTTGTTCTTATTGCAACGGAAGTTGGGTATTAACGGGATTAGGTTATTTCAATTAAGGGTTTGAAGATCATCACGGAAGTAGATGATTGAATAATTAGGAATCTAGGCATGGTGTTTAATGTCCCTTATTCGCTTGATTCCACGGAAGTAGGCTTGATAGTTAATTTGGGAAGCCATTGATAACTCGGAAGAGACCTTTGGTATTATTATTAGGGATTGCTTTTCTTCTTGTCAATTGATTTATATATTGGGGGTAGATTTATTAGTTTATCAATCATAATCGTGGTAATGCTTGATCTTGGATGCTTTAGTTTATTGATTAATATTTCCTCTAGTTAATTGTGTTATTTAATATATTAGTTGATTATTATCATCCATTATTGATTGGTGACGTGCTTAGTGATTAATTGAGTCTGATTAATTGAATGAACCATAGTCTCTTGGGATTCGATCCTTACTTGCCCTACTACATAGTTAGAGGGAATAGTTAGGTTATTTTTGTTAGGTACGCGATAAGCCTATCAAATTTTGGCGCCGTTGCCGGGGACTAACGGTTTTCATCTAATTATTTGTGATTCGTTTTTTTTGCTAAGCTTTTGGTTTGTTGCTTTGGCTATTATTAACTTCTTTTTATCTTATGAGTTGATGATATACATGCCTTGGAGATGGATGATTTATTGTCACGTCTTGCATCTGGCCATTGTTCTTGTTATTATCTTTATCATGAAAACCCTGATTGCCCTTATAGTGAGTATTTTGTTCGAGCTCCGGATGATTTTAGAATCTTTCCATTCGTATATGATTATTCTGAAAAACAGTTTGTTCTAAATGAAATTTATTGGAGGATTCATGATGAATATTATCATAATTTGTATAATACGTCGGAGGAAGAATCATTTGTTGAAAAACCGATGGTTAAAGAGTCATTGGTTATAGAATCAGTGGTTGAGGTATCATTGGTTCCAATAGAAGAAGAATCATTAGTTGTAGAACCAATGGTTGAAAATTCTTTTTCCTTTGGTAATGAACTTATTCGTGAGCGTAAAATAATAGAGTCGTTATTGGGTGATGATACAGAACAAGACTACCTCCATGTTCGTTCTATTAATTCTAAATTTTTAGCGGAGGAAGCAGAAGGTTGTGGTGTATCTTCATCTTTTTCTTTTGATTTTTCTTTTTACCTTGAGTTTTCTTTGTGTGCTCCTAATCTTTTCTATGTAAGGATTACTGTGCTTGCAATTGAGCCCTATATAGTGCTTAATGAAATGTTTGCAGGAGCGTATGATAAGTTACTCAAGGCGTTAAGTTCTTCTGATGGAAGGAGAATGGTCAAGCTTAAGACCTTGATAAACTAGCGCTTTACGGGAGGCAACCCGTATTTCATTATTTTTATTTTAGTCTTTTCTAATTTTTGTGTTTTCGTTTGTTTTATTTTAGAGAGGTAAGGAGAGGATATTTTATTCTTGTGGGAGTTTCTATATGTGTAGGTTTTGATCTAGAAAGGTTTCGATTTTAAAGGAGAAGAAAGCTGGATTGTACTCGGGTTCGCTCGGGCAGAGCTCGCCCGATCGGGCGCGCGTACGGATCAGCAAAACTGCTCAAGTTCAACAGGCCGTAACTTTTACGTTTCTTATCGGATTTTTGCGTGTGACCTATCGTTGGAAAGCTCTTCAAGTCTACTTTCCAACACAATTAGAATCACTGCATTATAATTTATACAAAAAAAGTTATGATCAGAATAGTACGCATAACTCAATTTTTATATTTTTCCCACTAACACTTTGTTTCATTCTTGCCCAAATTTGTTCCAAAGAGATGCATTGAAATCCTCGAGGCTTTGGTGACATTGTTGTGGTGATGATGATAAGTAGTAGTCGCCTTGACTACTAGCTTCCCTTTAAGACAATGAGGACATTGTCTGATTTTGGCTTGGGGGAGATTTTTGGATTAAGGTATCTTTCTTTTCTCTCTCTTTTTGTTTTTTGACGTATTCAGTTTAGTTTTATTTCTTTCATAGTCTAGATTTTATTGCTTTCTAGGTTAGATTTTATTGCTTTGAAAAAGAAAAAAAACATACAAAAAATACGATCCAATGAATAATAAATCATGCTTCCCTGTGCCCCATTCATGAAAATTGTTTTAATTCTTGGTATATGATGACGAGTATTGTGGATAGGTTAGCCATGATTTGATGTTTGATTGCTTGGATGTCTTAACATGAGTCAATTTTGCCCAACTACTTGTGAATATAGTGCTTGACTAGTTGATTTGGTTAGGAATGTGTGTTAGTTCCTGGTATGTCAATGAAGTTGAGTATTGGTTTATAACTTTGAGTAACGTTTGCATGACTCATTAATATGCACATTGAGGAGGACGAAGGCATTTGTTCCTCTAGGTGGCCTTCAGACGATATTAGATACATTTGTTCCCTTCTTGCTACCCATGTTGTTGCTTGTGCCCTTTTATTGTTTATTTTGCCACATTACAAGCCTATTTAAGCCCCATTGGTTACTAGTCCCAAGCTTGGCTTGGGGGAGCTAATAGTGAGTGAGGTGAGGGAGTTGTAGTGTGCATGTAATTTGCACAATTTTGGGTGGATTTGAGAAGTTTTTTATTTGTTCTTATTGTTGTGGATTGAAAAAAAATTGAAAATTTATTGTGCAAAGAAAAAAAAAAATTCCAATGTGAGATAAAAAAAAGAAAAAGAAAGAGCAAAAGAAAAAAATTGTTTCAATGTTCAAGTGTTCTAATTGAAGGCTGCTCAAGAAAAAAAAAAGAGAGTTCAAAGTTTGTTTGTTCACTCAAGTTCTATAATTTTATATTTTGTATATATGAGTGAAATTTTAAGTGTTGGAAATTTTTAATATAATTGGATGTTTGGTGAATTTTTGGTAGAGTTGAGTTGTGTTGGAGATGATTTGGTCATTAATTTATTTTGACCTTGGTTTTATTTATTAGGATTTTGGCTCCCTTAAGCATAGCTTTACTCTTACATTTTCCCAAATATTTCCTACCTTTTACCCTAGCCTTACATTACAAGCTTTGAAGACCTTCTGACCTTTGTGCATAGAGTTGTGTGAATGTGAAATTAGTTGTTTTCCAATGCAAAGAATGATTTGATATATTTCGAGTCGACTGCTAGGTTGAGTGCTTGTTTTCTTAAAACACACGAGTGCGTGAGTTTGGGAGGGCATTGTTCACATTTAAAGGAGTTGGATGGAGAGCGATCGAGTATATCTTTTACTCGCCACATAAATGAGAGTTGAGTGTGTGAACACTAGTCTTGAATTCTATATGCTCTTGTGGTTTGCTCTATTTGACCATTGTCAGACAGGATGAGTAGTTAGATGGATTTGATTGGTTGACTTTGATGCATAACTGTCGAGTTTACCTTTAATCGTATTTATTGATTTGAATTGCTTTTGGGGTGAAGTATTGATTTATTTATTCATTGCTTTGCTTAGGGACAAGCAAAGGTTTAGCTTGGGGGAATTTGATATACGTGTTTTATACAATGGTTTTCCCCGGTTTGATTGCATGATTTTACATGGTTTTGAGCTCTACGGAGCTATTTCTTGCTAACAATCTCTTCTTTAGTGTATTCGATTGTTTTAGTAAGCTTTTCAGGAATATGAAGCGTTTCTAGGCAATTGGACGTGTTTTTAGTAGATTCGGAAGAGTTGATAGCCAAGAACTGCAATTTATGTGGAATGCCCGACCGGGCATGGCTTGCCCGGGCAGACCGGGCAATGAGGAGTTCACAGGAAGAAGCCCAATTCTGAACGGTGCAACGCGCGCCCGATCGGGCAGGCTTCGCCCGGTCAGACCGGGCGATGAAGAAATCAAGTTATGAGATGCAATTTTGGAAACGTGTTACGCGCGCCCGACCGGGCGAGGTTCGCCCGGTCAGACCGGGCAAAGAAGGAAAACTGTCGTATTTTACGCAGC